TTTTTCTTATTTATTTAAATAAAAATACACAATTTGTGAAATAAATATACCAAAATGTCAAACTTTAAAATCAGCTGTTTGCTATGTCGCTGAGGTCTTCAAAATGTTTAAGAAGCGACAAGGCGACATTTGTCGACAAAATGATGTCGCTGTCGTTACGTCGTGAAGTTGCAGTCGTCAAAATGTTCCGAGCTTCATAACTAATTTGATGGTCTTCTAGGTTTAGAAACTATGAAAGAGCTTGTTGTAATAATCGATTTAGAGAAATCCATATGAAAAACAGCAAGTACAATAACACCTCCTAAATATAAACCAAGCTATAAGTCCAAAAAGTATAAGGTTCCTCTTATGAGCACGATAGCGGCTCATCTACCAGTAGATATAAAGTCAGGCGATATTTATACACAACAAAAAATGCATAAATGATAAACTGTTTATTTCCGAATGAATTTTTAAGGCCAAGGATTGGTAGGGCCTGTACGAGGGACGTAATAAAAGCGGCATTACTGCCGTACTGATGAAAAAATGGCAACATTGTTGCAACTGCCCAATTGATAATACATTGCTAGAAATTCACACCGAACGCGATACTTTAATAATTCGCGCAACACTGCGGTTGTGATTGCAACTCGAGCAAGCCCGTACTCTTTGGTTGAAGTGAATCTTTCCGATAATGAACAAAATTTTATTTTAGCGACACGTTTTTGGAAGTATGCAATTATTCAATACAATGTGGCGCTCATAGTACAACGGAATACAGTATTTCTAACTCAATAAGAACAAACCATCTCAATTCGGAGGAAAAAAACAGCTAATAAAACTATGCAAAAGTTTTGAAGACATTTTTTTTTTTAATGAAGGCGAAAGTTTAACTCTTATTAATCATGTCAAGCATGAAATCAAAACAGTTGATGACATTCCGATCTATATGAAATCTTATACGGCCCAATTCTAAATATCTCGCGGAATTTTTCACTTGCTGAATTTATCGTTCTGTCAGAAAAAAATCCGCCTATTTTAAACAGGCGGAGAGAGGGATTTTAAGTGAGTAGGAATTGGTCTCATTCGAAAGCTGCAGCTGATGAGGCGGTAAGTGACATTTCTCGTTTTATTATTAAAGTTGATTTTTTT